CCTCAGCTCCTCCCCTAGAGTTCCATCTTCTCCACCTGAAATCCAGCTCTGTTCCTTGCACTCCTTCCTGCCGGGTCCACCCTCCGGCTACAGGGACTGGCCAGAATCCGGCTCCAGCCAGAGGGACACTAAGGGGAGTGGCTCTAAAAGGGTGTTGGGTGCTAGTGCCTGGCCAAGGAGGCAGTTCGGTTTCCTCTCCACCTTGCTTTCCAGCCCCAGTCCTTGACTTTCGAGCCTCGGCTTTGTCTGGGGACAGCTCTACGCTTTTTTTTTTTTTTTTTTTTTTTTTTTTTTTTTTTTTTTTTTTATTTTACACTCTTCTAATCTTGCTTGCCTTTTCCCGAGATATACAGCATTTCAGGGAAGCTACCCAACTCTGACCCTAGGGGACCTAATGCATTTGGTCTATAGCTGTATCCCCATTGTTGGCTGGAGTGATGGTGTTTGGTGTAAATGGAGCAAATTGTAACCAAGGAAAAGGCTGAGGAGCTGTGGTCCTAGGGACATTATTTGTGAGGTTTAGAAGCCGGAAAAGGGCTCCAAAGGGTGCAGCTTGGGAGGAAGGAGGAGGCTGATGAGCCCAGTGTACCTCCTTTTACTGAGGGTATCTTGGAGCAGCCAAAGCGAGGGACACATAGCTGGTTTCTCCTTCAGGTTGGGAGTAGGAGGGATGCGGTGATCGTCAGCTTGACCGGGACTATTTTGGTTATCAAGTTCTTTGCGTGGTGGTCCTGCTATGGTTGTGGAGATGTAAGGGGGCGAGGAAGAATTTTGCACTTTTAAATTTGTAATTGGAACATCATTGGTGGTCAGTTGGCTAGCTCCCATTTGCCTTTGCTGCTCTCTCAGCGGTGATCTGAGTATTCCATTTGAGGCACCTGTCATGCGAGTAAGACTGCTCCTCTAGAGGTACCTTCCAGACGACTAACCCATCCCTGTGGCACACATACAGGGGAGGGTTTTTCTTGGGTAAGAATTGGAGGAGTTACCTGTAAGACCCACCGCAAGCTCTTTAGGTAAAACACTTTAGCTTCAACGCCCCACTTCCCAGCCAGCACACACGGACCTCAAATGTGTAAAACGGAGAAATTCCTTGAACATATGCCTTAGCAATGATTCAGCCTGCTTAGCAGGTGGCGAGGAGGGGGCAGGAAGAGCTGTAGCTGACTTTAGGCTGGAAATCTCAAGTGGCTTTTTTTTTTTTCCCCTTTTCTGGAGGAATATGTTCCGTCCTCTTTTCTCTTGAGGACAAGAGCAGTTCTGTGCACTGCGGCATGTGGGATTTAGGTTAGAGAGTGGCCTGTCTTTAATAATGATCACCCAAGGACAGATGAGGCATCCATCTATCCATCTAATAAAAACAGCTGGGGAGCACTGTGTGACAGACACTGTGCTAAGCGTCTGAAAGACTGCAATGTTAGAGTGGACCCTTGCCCTTGAAGAGCTCAAAGCTAGAGGGAGGGATTTAATATAAGCTGGGGATTAGAGTCCCATGGCAGGTAAGGGGGAGGCATAGTAAGACCAAGGAGAAGGAATGGATAGAATTGTATCCTGAATTAGTGGGCTGCAAATCTTGGGGACCAAGGAGAGTGTATACTGTCCGTGTACCTCCTGTTGTTGGTTGACTTGCACTGAGGAACAGACGCCTAATGAGTGTGTGAAGAGGTGTTAGTTTCCTCAGGGATCAGCTGTTCTTCCTTGATGTTCTGCCTAGGCCGGTGGGTGCCTACTGCCGAGATCTGGGTCAGAGTGATCTGGAATTGTCCTCTTTGTAAGGAGTTACTCGGGGTATACAGACATTTCATTCCCTATTGCTTTTGAGCCTCCCAGAGTCCCATTAACCCTCTGCATAAAAAAAAAAAAAATGCCTTTTCTTTCCCCTAACAAAGCATGTAACTGTCTTGGGTTTTTTGGTTTGTTTTTTTTTTTTTCCCTAATTATTTTTTCTGGATTTCTCACAGCTTTAAAAATAGGCCTGATTGCTTGCAGGGCTTGCCAGATATAAAGTGGCTGTTGTGAGCATGAAGTTCCATGGGGGTGGGAGTGTGAGGAGCCCTGTGAGGGTGGCTGACATCAGTTCTGGGGCAGCAGATGGGATAGGGTACTTGTCTCACTTCTTGCAAATGTGCTGCAGCCGATGTTAAGAGATGAGGTTTGACTTGCTCTTTCTTGACTCCGGCCTGGACTCGGCCAGCCGTATCTTACCACCTCTCTCTGGTTCCCCAGATCAATGAGCTCAGCCAGGTGCCCCCTCCGGTGATGCTGTTGCCAGATGACTTTAAGGCTAGCTCCAAGATCAAGGTCAACAATCACCTCTTCCATAGGTAAGTGGTCTTCACCCTCCTCAGGAAAATCTAGAAAAGGAGCGGCACGGAGGGGAAGGGGTAAATGGGATCTCACCTCCATATGAGCTTTTTGTAGTACACACACATATCCACACTCACACAAACTAGACGTTTAAAGAAAGAAAAAGAAAAGGGCCCAGGCCTGGTTTGACCACACCTTTAATCTAGGCAGGTGGATCTCTATGAGTCCAGCCAGGGCAATACAGTGAGTCCCTTTCTCAAGAGAGAGAGAGAGAGAGAGAGAGAGAGAGAGAGAGAGAGAGAGGGCAGCAAATAGTTTTAAAATGTTAAATGAGTTGAAGGTTTTAGGTTTAGAAGTCAATTTACAAATTTTATGGTCTCTCATCCATTCTAAAGCAAAAATTCAGATTTTTTAAAAAACAAAAAACAAACAAGGATATCTAAAGGCTAACAGATGCCTCAGCAGGTAAAGGCTCTTGTTATCAAGCCAGACAACTTGAATTCAGTCTCTAGAATACACATGGTGGGAGGACCTGTTCCTGGAAGTTGTCTCCTCACACACACACACACACACACACACACACTCAAAATAAACAAATAGCTGAATGTGGCCAGGACTGCATAAAGAATAATTATCAAAAATAACCAATAGATAATTAATTTAAAAATGTTAACATGTAAACATTATATATATAGTCTGTTATTTTCTGGTCTGTTCCATCAAATAAATCCACTCAGATCAGGTGCCTCTATCAATACCTTCTGGTGAGGATTCCTGAAAAATAACTGAGACCTCTGATCCCCTTTAGTACAAGATGATGCCATTCAAACTGTCAGTAAATACTGCTAATTTTAGGATATTTCTACTGAGCTTCAGATTTAAGAAATGCTACTGTGTGTGTGTGTACACTAAGCCCTGCTTTACTTAAACTATTTACCAGCCATGTGACCTGACTTAGGCAGGTCACTCAGTCTGTCTTTTAAAGTACTTCAAGGAGCCTGTCATAGTAAGTGCATGAGGCTGGAGCATCAGGATTCAAGGCCAGCCTCTGCTGCATAGATTTTCCAGGCTAATCCCAAGCTAAAAACCAAGTAACAATAACAAATAAAGTTGGGGCTGGGGAGATGGTTCACAACAAACAGCACTTGTACAGCAAGCATTAGGGCTAGGATCCACATTTCCCACATGGAAAAGCTGGGTGAGGCTGAGGGTTCCTGTTTGTCCAGCACTGGAAAAGGCAGGGGGAAGTGGGCCCTGGGAGCTTGCTGGTCAGACTGCCTACAAGAAATGGTGACGAGCTGGGCTGTGGTGGTGCACACCTTTAATCCCAGCACTCGGGAGGCAGAGGCAGGCGGATCTCTGTGAGTTCGAGGCCAGCCTGGTCTACAGAGTGAGTCCCAGGACAGGTTCCAAAGCTACAGAGAACCCCTGTCTCAAACCCCCTCCCTGCCACAAAAAAAAAAAAAAAAAAAAAAAATGCTGGGCTTTGGGTTCAGTCTCAAAACAATAAGGTTGGGGAGGGGGGCAATAGAGGAAGACACTGGACACTGTCCTCTGGCCTCCATATTTGAGTGTGTGTGTGTGTGTGTGTGTGTGTGTGTGTGTGTGTGTGTGTGTGTGTTCTGCACACAACACACTTGAGCACACATTCCACCCAAATAAAGGCAACAGCAAACTAACTAAATGCTTCACAGGGTTCTGTGAGAATTATATAGGCAATAGTGTGATGACTGAAAACCTGTGTTTCAGAGAAAATCTTCCCAGTCATTTCAAGTTCAAGGAATATTGTCCCCAGGTCTTCAGGAACCTTCGTGATCGATTCGGCATTGATGATCAGGATTACTTGGTGAGAGGCTGTTGTGGGGTGAGGGTAGTCCCTGACAGCTAGGAGGTCTGTTGGACAATTACATTTAGAAAACAGAGCTGGGGCTGGAGAGATGGCTCAACAGTTAAGACCACTGGCTGCTCTTCCAAAGGTCCTGAGTTCAATTCCCAGCAACCACATGGTGGCTCACAACCATCTGTAATGAGATCTGGTGCCGAACACTGTACACATATTAATAAATAAATCTTAAAAAAAAGAAAGAAAGAAAGAAAGAAAGAAAGAAAGAAAAGAAAACGGAGAGCCTTGGTTAATGCCATCTTTGTGTGAGTGCTCGTGGTCATGGGCATCTTTGAAAATGTAATGAGTCTAATTGAGCTGTTCTGGGGGTGGTAGGATATATATGTGTGTGTGTATATACATACATATACATGTACACATATACATATACATATATATTATATATATATTAATTAGAGTTTCACATTCAGTTTCATTCAGTCATGTGTGGTCGCCAAATTGGGAACCCCTGTTGAATCTCTAACCCTGGGATTATTGCATCTTAATTATTTAATGTAGTTGTGGGTGGTATTAGTGAATGTGTGTAGGTGGGAATCGGAGGAAACCTTTCTGGATCTGGTTGTTTTCTTCCACCATGTGGGTCTCAGGGATTTAACTCGGACCATCCTGTTGCAGATCATGAGGCTTGGGAGCACACACATTTCCCACCGAACCATCTCAACAGCCTCATCTAAGAGTTTCATACACTTTGAGAAGCAGTTGTTTGGCCATTATCCTCCTGTCTTCATGTCACACAGAAAGTCCATATGCTCACGGCCTGTTCTTTGTCTCCAGGTATCCCTTACTCGAAGCCCCCCAAGCGAAACTGAAGGCAGTGATGGCCGGTTTCTCATCTCCTATGATCGAACTCTTGTTATCAAAGAGGTGTCCAGCGAGGACATTGCCGACATGCATAGCAACCTCTCCAACTACCACCAGGTCAGGGCTCACCTCTCCAGCCCTGTCTGTCCTCTATCCTACCCATGTGAGCACACACACAGAGGTCTCCTGTTCTTTCTCTCCCCGTGAGCCGTGTCTCTCCCCCAGAAGCACTAAAAAGGGCCTTTGCATGCATGTTAGTGTTTGATTTAATAGGAAAATGTCATGTATCCCTTCCCATTTGGTACCCATCACCTAAAAACCACTGTTTGTTTGTGTGCATGAGCTTGGAGGTCAGAGGGTGATATTATCGAGTTGGCCATCCTTCCTTCCACCATGTGGGTTCCAGGGATCAAACTCATGTTATCATTCTTGGTGGCAAGTGCTTGTACTCACTGGCCCCAGGGATTGATGTTTTTTTCAATTTATTATTATTTTATGTTTATGGGCATTTTGCCTTCATGTATGTTGATGCACAGTGTGTGTATCTGATGCCCTGGGTGAACTGAAGAGGGTGTCAGATACCCTGGAACTGTAGCTATAGACAGTTGTGAGCTGCCATAAGAAGTTCTGGGAATTAACTCAGGTCCTCTGCAAGAGCACCCAGTGTACTTAACTGCTGAAGCATTGCCCTAGTCCTTGATATTCTTTTAATTAAAATTTTTATTTTGGCCGGCCATTGGTGGTGTATGATTTTAATCCCAGCACTCCGGAGGCAGAGATGAGCAGATCTCTGTGAGTTCAAGGGCAGCCTGGTCTACAGAGCAAGTTCCAGGACAGCCAGGGCTTCACAGAGAAAAACCTGTCTTGACAACCAAAAAATAGATGATAGCTAGATACATGATAGATAGATAGATAGATAGATAGATAGATAGATAGATAGAATAGTAAAATAAGATACAAACTTTAAGGGGCAAGGAAAGTGCCCATGAAGGAGACTCAGTGTGACTGGTAGTTTGAATTATTAATGCCCCGAGTACGTCTATAAAGGATAAGGGATAGGAGGACACCAGAGGTGAGCATAGTGGGTGAAAGGAGAGATTGTCGGAAGGGTCAAGTGCACAGTTGAAATAATTCAGTGACTATAGTCCCTACTGGATTTGACAACTGAGGAGTTATGGGCTTCAGATTTCAGTGATTTAGGGAATTTCCACGAATAAGGGCTTATTTATTACTTTTACTTATTTATTTTTTTGGTAAAAATATGTGTACAAGTGTTTTGCTTGCATATGTGTGCTTGGTGCCCTTGGAGGCCAGAATAGTATATCATCAGACCACCTGAAACTGGAGTTACAGGAACTGTGATCCACAGTGTGGGTGCTGGGAATTGCACCCAGGTCTTCTTGAAGAGCCATCTCGCCACTCCAAGTGTTTAAGGTCAGCTTTACTTGGGGCCAGGCTAGTGACATCTGACTTGACTTAGAAAACAAAATGATACTGGGCTAGAGAGATGGCTCAGTGGGGAAGAGCACTTCCTGTTCACTCAGAAGACCTGAGTTAGGGTAATGTCAAGTGATTCACAGCTGTCTGTAACTCTAGTTCCAAGGGATGCTCTGGCCTCCTGGGGTGTTCCCACAGACACATAAATAAAAAAATAAGGCATATAGTAGTGCCTTCCTTTAATCTCAGCATCTTTGTGTTCAAGGCAGATCTCTGAGTTTGAGGCCACCTTGGTCTACAGAAAGAGTTCCAGGACAGCCAGGAGAAACCCTATTTCAAAATAATAATAATAATAATAATAATAATAATAATAATAATAATAAAAGATAAAAATGGAAGACTGCCTTACATCTTTATTTTAAAAAAAACACAAAACAATCCAAATTAATTATAGGTCTCCTTGTAGACATTTATACTACAGAACCTACCCCACCAAGAAATAATCATTTTGCCAGGTGTTGGTGGCACACGCCTTTAATCCCAGCACTCGGGAGGCAGAGGCAGGCAGATCTCGATGAGTTTGAGACCAGCCTGGTCTACAAGAGCTAGTTCTAGGACAGCCTCCAAAGTCACAGAGAAACCCTGTCTCAAAAAAACAAAAAATAAAAAATAAAAAAAGAAACAATCATTTCATTGATAAGTAAATCTAAGTTTAACCCTGGTTCTGTGACTTTATTTACACAGTGCCTAAGGTAAGAATAATAATAGCTGCCTTCCTTATCTTGAAAAGTGATAAAGGTAGCTCATTCCTATAATCTTAACACTTAGAAGCTAGAGACAGAGATCAGAGTTGAAGACCCACCCCAGCCATATGAGACTTAGTGTCAAACAAATGAATGACAGAGGTGAGAAAAGGTACTTTAAAATTAGGAGATGGAGAAGCTGGGTGACCAGGAGCATTTTTAGGGACCGGCCACCTCTTGGCTTTGCATCCTCTGCTTGTGGGTTCTTTCCGGACTCTGGAGCAGCAGTGCTTGGATTGCTGTTCCTGGGCTGTTTGCTTACCCTGCCACCCTTTCCTTATTCCTTCCTCTCATTTTCTTCCCTAGTACATAGTGAAGTGTCATGGTAACACGCTTCTGCCCCAATTCCTGGGCATGTACCGAGTCAGTGTAGAAAATGAAGACAGTTACATGCTCGTCATGAGAAATATGTTTAGTCATCGTCTTCCTGTGCATAGGAAGTATGACCTCAAGGTAAGAGCAGGGTGACCTGGGCTAAAGGGAGGGCTACTTCTGGCCTGCGTGTTGAGGAAGGCTTGGGAGGGCACTGGTGACTGCTGTTAAAGGAGAGGTGTAGATTTGATTGTTCATCTTTGGAACTGGGCTTCTGGCTGGCCCTGTTATTTCTTCTGACTTAGTCTTTGGTCTCTCCACAGGGTTCTCTAGTGTCCCGGGAAGCCAGCGATAAGGAAAAGGTAATATTCCTTGTAGGTGATGCTGTGAGGGATGGCGGGGCGGGGTGTGTGTGCAGGTGCAGGAGTGTTGGCAAAGGGATTTCTAGGAATAAAGAAGCAGTTCTGCATAATGGATACAGATTGCAGCTGTTTATTCTTACCTTAAACCACTAGAAAGAAAAGAGATTAAAAAAAATGAAAAAAAACCTACTGGTCTGTGTGAGCAGCAGGGGTGACTGTTAGCATTGTTGTTAGCACTGGTTATTCTGTGTTGAAGGTTTGGGAAAGGTGGGAATGCCAGGTATGAAGAGCAGAATGCTCGTTTTTCATATCGCATTCTGAGCTCTTGCGTTCAAGTAGCTGTTTTCACTGAAGAAGGAGGAAGAAGTCAGTATGGAGGGTATTGACTGCAGTCCATAAGCAGGTAGTGTGGGTGTCATATGAAATGCAACTGACGAGTCCAGGCCCAAAGCAACTGTAAGACTGCTGCTCTCTTCAACGCCTCTGAGGTAGAGAGAGGCCTGGACGGAGGCAGGGTTCTCTGAGGCTTTGGGTAAGGGTGATTCCAACTGTAGGTTAAAGAGCTGCCTACGCTTAAGGATATGGACTTCCTCAACAAGAACCAGAAAGTATATATTGGTGAAGAAGAAAAGAAAATATTTCTGGAGAAGCTGAAGCGAGATGTGGAGGTAATGATTGGGTGCCCAGAAGTGCCTTGTATAATAAAAGAAGTGTCTATTTTGTTTTTAAAATTTTTTTGCTTTTTGCCTTCCATTTGTGGTACAAAAATTTTCTTGCCTTTATTTTTGGGGTTTGCTGAGTGGAAGGTTGGGGGTGAAACAGGAGAAACCCCCATTGGTGGGGTGAGGTAGGGAGTGGGATGGGCACTGGCTAGGAGGAGTGAGAGCGTGCTGTCAGATTCCAGGACTCGGGCACTAATTCCTGGGAATACTTTGACCTCGGTTTATATGTTCCTTTCCCCCAGGAGGGCCCAAAAACTCAAGGAAGGAGGCATATGGGTGGAAGCTGGAGCTGGGTGGGAGACCTGGGGTCTCTGATTTGTCAGTGGGTCTCAGTTCCTAGTGCAGCTGAAGATCATGGACTACAGTCTTCTGCTGGGCATCCACGACATCATCCGGGGCTCTGAGCCGGAGGAAGAGGGGCCCGTGCGGGAGGACGAGTCAGAGTGGGATGGGGACTGTAACCTGGCTGGACCTCCTGCTCTGGTGGGCTCCTATGGCACCTCCCCTGAGGGCATTGGAGGCTACATTCATTCCCACCGGCCCCTGGGCCCAGGAGAGTTTGAGTCCTTCATCGATGTCTATGCCATCCGGAGTGCTGAGGGTGAGAGAGAACCTGGAAATGTTAAGGGGGGGTGGGCATCCTTGGGGGACAGAGACCAGGGTGGTGGATGGAGAAGCTGATTAGCTTGTCACAACAAAACTGACTCCAGGGGGAAAGAATTGGGACTGTGTGTACCCTGTCCTCATTGTCAGTCTCTCTCCCCAGGGGCCCCCCAGAAGGAGGTATATTTTATGGGCCTCATTGACATTCTGACACAGTATGATGCCAAGAAGAAAGCAGCTCATGCAGCGAAAACCGTCAAGCATGGGGTGAGTTCCCAAAGCCTTTCCCTTCTTAGCCTGACCCTCTGGAAAGAGAGCACTGGGTGCCTAAGGGAAGGAAGGGGCTAAGGCTCCTCACACATTGTCCCGTGTCCCTTCTCACAGGCGGGAGCAGAGATCTCTACTGTCCATCCTGAGCAGTACGCTAAGCGATTCTTGGATTTCATTGCCAACATCTTTGCCTAAGAGCCTGCCTGACTCCGTGGTGATTGCTGCTTTATGTTGAAGGTGGTGGGTTCTGAGAGTCTTAGGGGAACTGGATGTGGCCACTACTTCTCTTCCTTGCTAAATTCAGGCTGCAGGCTCCTTCCATCCAAATCATTCCATCTTGGTGGATAGGCTTTTCCTACCAGAGAAACACACTGTCCTTTCTTCCCGCGTCCGTTTTTCTGCCCGCTCTCCCGGCTCCCAGTAAGCCCTCTTGCTTCATTAGAGTGCTGTTGTTGACTCCCAAGTGCCTTGATCTTTGAAAATTACCTTGTTTCTATGAAATCAGAGGAGCTGGGGGTAGGGGTTGTTTGCCATCTTCGGGACCTGACAAGATGGACAGTGGACGTGGCTCCAGCAGCTACCCTGGATGCACTCTGCAGTGTGGAAGAAACAGTGTCTGGATTTCGCTGATACCTTTGTAGGGCTCTTTGTGGCAATCCTTTCTTCCTGCAGGCCCTGGAATGGAGGGCTCTCAGGAGACTCCAGGTGTGGGTGCAGGCATTCACGCATGGACAGTCAGCAGCTGGCACCTCACAGAGGCGGGACCCCAGTGGACTTTTGTGACTGTGCAGACAATGGAGAAGGTCCCTGTCAAGCAGTGACTACTGTCCATTCTCTGCCTCCACCACACCCCACCCCACTGTGATCTGTAGCAGTGAGTACTTATGGATCAGGAACCCCGATATGGCCAGAGCTGTCCAAGCCTAGGGGCAGGTGTGAGGCCTCTGCTGCTGCACCTCCCCAGAACCTTGCGCCTTTGCTGGGGATGGAACCCTTTAGCGAGGGGGTGGGGGGAAGGGAGAGCAGTGGAGCCTGGGAGGACAGGTCGGAGTGCAAGGTTCATACCCTGTGTGAAGTTTCCTTTCTTCCTATCCAGTAAAGCCCATGGTCCCTTTCTAGCCAAGGGAAGAGCTCCATGTGGCTCAGTTTCCATAATTTCAAGAGGATAGAGACCTTGAGTGTGGGAACATCCCCATTCCCTGGACGTAGGTACGCAGCACAGGGCCTCCCCTCTTCTCAAACACTTTTTCTAGTTGGGTTTGTTATTCTGTTCCTTCTGTCCCATCTTTCACTGCTAATGTGTCTCCCAGGGACAGATGGCCTTCTCTGTCATCTTCACTTCCCACCCCCAGAGAGGAGTCAGAGCCATAACTCACTCACCGGATCCCTTCCAAAGATAGCTGAGTTAATGCGTGATAGATACTCTCAGAATGTAGAGGAACTTTCAGGGCAGCTAATGCCTCTAAAACCCAGCCCTCAAGGAGGCTGCAGCAGAGTCAGTGAGAGTTCAAGGCCAGCTTGAACAGCCTGGGCTACAGAGTAAGACATGGTCTCAGGAAAACTCAAAGAAGGTATGGGTTTGAGCATTGGAGATAACTCAGTGGATAGAGTGCTTGCCTAGCGTGTACAAAGCTCTGGGTTCCATCTCAGCACCATGCAAACCAGATGTGGTGGTGCACACCTATAATCTCAGCACTTGGGAAAAGAAGGCAAGGGGCATCAGGTATTCAAGGTCACCCTCAGTTCCATAGCGAGTTTGAGGCCAGCCAAGGATACGTGAGACTATCTGGGAAAACAAGATTCTGCCATGAGATAGACAGTCTTGTCTCTGCCCAGAGCCTTTGGAACCAAGACGGGCATTGTTGCTGTTCTGTTCCCCTTTAGACCTCCACACCCTGGGAGTGGGGGGTGGGCAGTAAGGGCACAAAGCTATGAGGTCCTCAGGGAGAAGCCCCCTTCTCACCTTTACACCAAAGGAAGCAGCAAAAGGCAGGCCCAGCTGGGGTGGGAGGGGCCTGCCTGCTGGGCCTCTTCCATCCATCCCATAGTCACCCTTTTCCCTGTTGATGCAATAAAGCCCCATGGCACCAGCAGCAGTTCCTTAGAACTGGATTCTCCAACCAAGAGGTTGTGTATTATGGGCAGAACGGTCATCTTCATTTATTGCTTCTGTTTTCCATCATTTTTTATTAATAAAAATCTCTATTTACCTGTATTTACTCCCAATATCACAATAAAATAAATTATTCGGTCCAAATCATTCACAGAAACTTTTTTCCCTCTGAAAATGTTGAGGGATCCCTGTGTTTACAGGATGCAGAGACCAAATGAAGAATATTGGTCTTCAAGGTGTTGTTGGGCTCCTGAATATGTGGGAAGTTTCCAAGATGGCTGTGGACTTATAGTTGTGGGGTGGGGTCATGGGAGTGGAAAACATTCCTCAACTTTGTGGGAATTCAGCAGTGATGGTGGCCAGGGAAGGGTAGGATGGTGCTGCCCCTCTTTCCCCAGTGCTCTGGCTACATCTCCTAACTTGAGTGGGCCTCTCAGCCTAACAGCTATTTGGGGAGGAATTCTCTGTTCACCCAGGCTTCCTGGGAAAGCTATCTACTTAGAGGGCAGGAGGAGTACAACAAGGTCCTGGGAAAGCGAAGGAGTGACCAGTCCTCCGGTTCGTGGGGGAGGGGATGGGAAGGGATGGATGACGCGGTTGTGGCTGCTCTGGGAGACTCAGGAGGTCTTGGCTGAGGTCTTGGCTGGTGGAAAAACCTGGCTTGATGTGGCCTCGGGGAAGAGAGTTGCAGGAGGCGGAGACTGTTCTGGTGAGAAGCAGGGCAGAGCTTTTTTTTCTTTGGGAATTTTTAACTCTTTTGAGCCACGTACTTGACAGCAACACCACCCCAAGCCTTTTTTTTTTTTTTTTTTTTTCTGTTCACTTCGCATTCTGCACCAACCTGTGTCCCTGTTTGTGGAAAGCTAGTCACCCGTCCCCATCTGGCAACAGGCTGTGGGGGGTCACCGGAGGTAACACTAGCAGGAGGGAGGGGATGGAAGTAGTTTAGTCACAGGGTTTATTGTGTAGTACCAGTGTTTTCCTTTTTTTTTTTTTCCAGAACTCTTCCCATACAACATTTTTTTTTTCTTTTAAAGCTCTTACAGCCTAAGATTTTAAAAAAAGACTGCCTTCCCCTCCAAATCCATACACCCACCGCACTGCTCACGCACCCATCCACTACCGGCTCCCAAAGGTGCCACGCAGCTGGCTGGGGAAGAAGAAGGGGAGAGGGCTCCTCCGGGAGGAGGGAAGCCAAAAGAGCGGCGTTTCTAAGGGATTTCACCTCCTACCCTCGGTTACATGACGCCACCCCTCCCTCCAAAGCCTGGATCTGCGCCTCCATTTTTGTTTTGGGGCAGAGAGGCAGGGGCTCCCGGGTAGCAGGAGGAGGGGACCAAGGGAAACGGTGATCATCACCCGCCCAGGGGAGAGGGGTGCTGTCCTCCCTCCTTCCTCTTCATCGGCGCCCCGGCTTCCCCTGCCACCTTCCCGGGGTCTTCCCCCGCCCCTTGTTGCTAAGGCCCGGACCGTCATCCCAGCAACAGCCTCAGTCATGTGACCGGCAATGGCGGCGCTGACGAGAGGTAGGGGAGCCCGGCGC